CGAAACCGACGGGAGAGTCTATTATTATTATTATTATTATTATTATTATTATTATTATTATTATTATATATAATTAAAAATCCCATGAAATATGAAGTGATGGGGAGGGGAGATGAACCCAAACAAAAAACTCAAAAATTCAACCAAAGATAAAACAAAATTAAAGCAATATTAGTAGGAACCGTCCACCCCTCAAAATAATAGGAGTGGCCACTGTATTCTGTCTTCAGACAAAAATCAAGAGTCTCTCTAGCTAAGGGAGAGCGAACAGACAGAAATATATTTATTTTGTAAAAAATCCCAAATTGTAGCACAGGGTCGAAGGGGAAGATGGGAAAGGGTGGTTTTTCACTAGCTATCCTATTCCTAGTTAACCACAATCATAACCCATTCATCCATTACAATTACACATTCACCACAAGAACTCATCTATCACCTCACAATCCTACACATACCACAATACCACATATTCACTGGGGACCTACAAAAACATCCCCATGGTGTAAAAATCTCATGAAAGGCCATAATTTTTTTTTCACAAAAATATATAAAAACTTCATGAATCATAAAATGTGGGGAAGGGGATGTACCCAGAAATCTAACAAAAGATTGTAACAAAAGAAACTAAAATAAAACAGATGTTAGTAGGACCTGTCCACCCCTCAAAATAATCCCCTATTATCTAATGAGACCTTCCATTTTTTTTCTCTCCGGATGTGTTTTAAGATATATCAATTTAATTGCCCTAACGTCATACATTCAGATATTTTGGGCATTTTGACGTGGGGTAGTGGTTAGTCAAGATTTTCTCGCCAGAAAGACTGAGTAGTGAGTTCGATTCTTGTTGGTTGCTTTATTCTTTCAGCCTTGTGCCACAACTAAGCTGCGCTTAATAAATCACTATATTCAAATTGTTTTCAACAATTCGTTCAGGACTCCAGGGATTTAACAAAACGAAATCACTTAAGGACTGGTAGGGTTAAATCAGTGTCGCAGAAACAACGCAGTATTCTCGATCAAAGTTTTAAGAGATATTTTATGACCTTCTTACTCATTTTGCCTTAAGGTCAATCAGTAATTTAAACAGACCGTTACATCACCAGCAAAGAATTAGGTCACGAAAGATTACGATTTGGTTAGGTAGCAGTTTTATTATCGTCCGACATTAAGTGCTAAGTTTATATATACGACGATGATATTTTGTCTTTCAGTACTGGAAGCTTAGTCAGTTATCGTTATGGAACAGAAATAATAATAATAAAAAAAAGAAACATTTTTTGTGCACAGAACTCAACCCCTAACCTGAATTTACAAAACGCATTAAAAATTCATCGCTGTGATTCTAAGTGGGCGTTTGCATGTGCTTCCATTATGGAAATGAGTAAACTGATCTTTATAAAAATGACAGACGGTTTTTCATTATACTAGGCATCAAGTTTCACTGCTGGCAACACTGGTCATGTATAATAACTGCATGATAGCAATTTGTTGGTGTGATTCTAAAAGTAGCATAAATTCACATATTACTTTCCTCCATTTTTTTCCATTTCCAGACAGTGCTTACATCTGCATAACGTAGAAAAATCGGTTCCCGTACGATCACTAAAGTTAAACAACGTCGAACATGGCCAGTACATACATCCATGTCAAAATTAATTGAAACAACAGCTTTAATTTCCTTTCTTTCACCATGTCCGCCCAACCAAAGATAAACAGGTATATAGGTCAGTTTTAGATCCACTGGACTGAAAGGGTGTATTCGATTTCTATTTTTCCTCAGATTAGGTCATTTGCAGTGGTGGGCAGTAATATGAATCTATTTTCGAAGTACATGATGAAATTTCTTTGGCCTTGAAAAATATTGCGTCATCCATGATTGCATCAGATTTTCATCAAGCCCAGACACTATTGTCTCGACTGTCGATTAGTTGTCCTACGGCCATTGTCTGCGATGTAAGTTACTCCAAGAAAGCGTATGAAAATTGTAACGCTGCACGAACACACTGACAAGCCTTACCAGTGAGAAAATCAAAGGACTATAGACTGGATCGGGATCTCTCCTGGTTTAAATCCAATCGATAATCTGTCGTCAGTCTGCAAGGAATGAACATACGAAGTACTAACATATGGACTGGGTCATGTTTCAATGGAAAAATACGAAAAAAGTAAATAATAACGTAATTATTCGTTTTGTTTCAATTAATTTGCGCAAGGATGTAGGTAGGTTACCGCTTGAGAATACCGGGTACCGTAAGATTAGACGTGCAGGTGGTGTAATAGATAATGGCTCGGAATTGTTAATCGGAGAGCCGAGTTCCCCCTTCGGACGGGTTCGTTATATTGACTTACCTTGGGAAATATATGAATCTACTTATTCTCCCCAACCTACGGATTAATTAATAAGACCTGTATCACTAAAACCCTTATTATCCCTCAAAAATCGAATTGCGTGCAAAATATTTAGATTTTGGCATTAAATAACCCATACAGGTGTTGATATGCCGCTAAAAAACAACCAACCAAATCCATGGCAGAAACATTCTGAAACAAAGATGTTTGATATTGTTTAGTGGCATATCAATCTCTGTGGGTTAATTAATGCCGAAATCTAAATATTCTGAACATAATTTTATGCTTTTACCAACAGATAGTTTGTACATAATTTTATACTTTCAGAGTAAATGTATATTTAGATATATAGATTGTAGAACATAAAATGTGTTCTTGGTAATTTTACTATAAAAATGTATTTTAATATTTTTTAGAGTTGCATTGATTGTCATTTTGTTATAAACATGTATCAGTCATTTTATTATAAAAATTTACTGTTGATTTTTGAATAGTAGTTCACTATTTGCCCATATATGTGACCCTAACAGGTGCTACTACCCTTAGGGTGAAGAACAGCAAAGAGGTGGTTCCACGCTCCTCAAAACCGCCAATTTTCCGTTCAGAGCCCTTGCTACCGGATGTAGTTTATAGTCATACCCAAGAGGCCTGATACAAAGACTTTCTCAAGTTAAGATCATTTAAAAAAAGGGCATATATTGATTTAAGCCGTTTCCAAATTGTTTTGAATTCATAAACGGTACATTTACGCCCTTTTAGTATTACAAAAGGAATTATTGTGATGGTTAACCTGAGGAAAACAGCAATTACTTAATGTGTACATCACAGATAAAAAAATACGTTTGCTTTGTCTCTGTGTGCATTAAGATTGTACTAAGAAATCATCAGTTACCTCCCCTTAAGATCTAAGAGGTAGACGAGTAACGAGTAACCAGAGTAAAGTGCAATAAATCTTTGGTATAAGTTTATTCACTTGTTCTGTTTTGTCTACAAAGTTATTTTCAGTAACTTGGTAATTTTCTGCACTATTTTAACCAATTTATGATCCAAAAAGTTAAAGAAATTATTCAGATCGATAATAGAGCGAGAAATGTTTCATTAGTTAGCATTAAAACTTTCGTCCCAATAATTTATTTATTAGGTTCTACAGAGTATCCAGTAAAAAAAAAAAAAAAAAAAAAGTAAATTCAGAAAGACGTGAGACAACCATTGAAAACTGGTGACAACTGATGTGACTGAAAAATTCAGGAAGAATTCCTGCACATCTCGTCAATCTCCACTTTGAATGTTCATCTTTGAAAAGTACGATAACTTGACGCTGAAAAATCAGTGAGTTGTTTAGCCAAACGAGAAGGACAGAACGAAAGACGAAAGTTGTTCGCAAATAACCTTTAAATGACGAGTCATAAGATCAAAGACCAATTAATCAATCAGAAAAGAACTAATCAGAGTTAAGTAATTACGCAAATGTGGAATGGTTATTCAAGGTCAAGAAATTCTAAGTAAATCATTCCTGAGAGATAAAACAGTGATAAAAAATTTGCCGCTGGGCACCGTGTACATTCGTTGACCTTTGATCTTCAGCCGTTTAGCTAATTTTGTGAAAATTCAACTCATTACACTTGCATTAGTTGACGTTTGTAAACCGGGCTTATTTTTATGAAGTTAAAATGCATTGAGTTTGAATTGGTTAAAGACTTCATTCTCAATGAATGATCATGTCCTTAAAAAAAAATTCTACTGAGTAAATTTGTTCTAATAAATATGCTATTAAATAGTTTCTTTCAAAAGAAACATCGAAGATACAAACCGAAATAGGTTCAACATATTTGAAATTTTCATCAACACTCAGCCTGGATTTGCTTCTCCAAGTTAATTGATCAAGCTCTCATGTCTGCCCAACCAAAGATAAAAAAGGACATCGTTCAATGAATCAAATATCTGCTGCGATTGATATTAAAAACGGGGATCAACTTCGACTAATGAAGAAATACCAGAATTGACATTTGAGCGGCATCTAATCCATTTTAAGTCGACATTTATCCGTCCTCTCACGCGAACAGAATGTAGTTCAAAACCGAAATGAGCGACAAATAATCAGACTAATTATTTATGTTTCTTGGGCGTCATTTTTAATTATCGTCCATTTCCTCGTACATAAAATTCAATAAAAAAATCATAACTTTTCTGTAGTATGACTGAAGATGAGCTCTTCTCAGTTTTCGTTTGAAAATAAACTTTCCGCAGTTTTCTTCGTAATAATTAACTACCCTAATGGTGCCGGCAATAACGAACGCTGGGCTAAATAAAAAGTGTAAAATTCTGTCCGCTAACGTCAACAGACACAATTTGGCGCTAGTCCTATGGGATAGTAAATCATTTCTATTGATTGATTGATTAATTCATTCATTTATACGGCTTATCGGCATTTTGCAGGTTATTTAAAGGCAGAAAATACCCTTAGAATGCAAGACTTTTTTTTGAGATAATACTGGCTTAGTAATACAAATCTTACTAATTAACAAATAGCTGAGGGAGGAGAGGTGGAGTCATATCATTTCCAAGAGTATTTGCGTGTAAGCGAATATAACGAACGCAACAAGAATTTGAATCCGGCTATCCGATTAACAATTCCGATTAGCCATTATGTATTACACCACCCGCTCATCCCAAGCCGTCACCCATCTAGGTACTGACTGAGCTCGACGTTGCTTAACTTCGGTGATTGTCTGGGAACCGGTGTTTTATCGTGATGTGGCCGTAAGCCTAATTATTGCCAAGAAAACTGCAAATGTTAGCTCAAGGGAAATAATCACCAGGTCTGACCAAAAAGTATCAGGTAGGTTGCTATATGGTAACGGCACAGATTGAAATGCACAATAGGTTATAACGTCCTCGATAACTTCCGTTGCTTATAGTAGTGCTTGGAAGGAAAATGTGTAGAGTGTGGTCGTCTCACCACACCACAGAAGTTCCATCGGTGACCATGGCTTGTACAGCAATTTTGGGTCAAGCACAACATTCTCTAGGTCCGACAACCAACATTGTCCCTTGCGACTTTCTCATCTTCATAAAACAGATCACACTTGAAAAGATTAAGAAAAGAAGAAGACGTCGAAGAAATCCAAGAGAATGCGACGAGTCAGCTGCTCGTTATCCGAAAATGGAGTTCCAGGAATGCTTCCATTGATGGAAACGACACTGAATAAAGTGTGTGTGTTCGGAAGTCGACTACTTCGAAGGAGATTAAATTCCGAATTGATATGTGTTGTAGTTTTCTTTTTGTAGCACCGGTAACAATAATTTTTAAACCAGACCACATTTTGTACAGGAGAATTTGTGAAGAATATTGTTTTTTATTTTGCAACAACGTGTAGATTCTTTGCCAGAATCAATTGGATTTAATAATTCACTAGGTTCCTCACGACGTCAAAACTGTCCTAGTTCATTTTAGATCTTTTAGAGCAACTTAATCTACGGCTTACGGCTAAATCACCTTGAAACTCCGGTTCTCGCATGATTATCCAAAGTTAAGCAACGTCGAGTTTGGTCAGTAGATAGATGGGTGACCACTTGGGACTACCAGGTGCTGTAAGTTTTGAAGTGCGGGTGATGTAATTGACAACGGTTCGAAATTTGAGAGCCGAGTTTTAATTCCAGTCACGCAGATACATTTACCTGAACGAGAACCGTCTACCCACTTAGATTAAATAAAGGGTTCAGTTCAGAATTCTTTGTAGATTAACCGGATCGACATAAACCTGATAAAAAATATGAGGGGAATCATCCGCATGTAAATAGTGAAAATAATGATAACGGATTACTGTTAGTTTTCCCAATGCGAGGACCATGGGCAAATCAAGGTACTGACCGAGATTTTTGTAATAGAGAGGTAAGGAGGGAATAAAAATACATCTTATGAGCACATGTAGGATAGATATTGGCTGACCCTGATGCTAAAAAGATCGGTATATTCAACCACGACATGCACTGCGACTCAACTTCAGACAAGACTACCTCCTTGTGCATATTTTACGATCTGAGGAGTGAGAAGGTGCCAGTATATATTGTTTATAAATATCGCACCACATATAAACCCTTGTGCAAATTAATTGAAACAGCCACGTTAGTTTCCTTTCTTTCATTATACGGTCAGTTTTAGACCCACTGGTGTGACAGGGTCTAATCGATTTCGATTTTTTCTCAGATTAAGTCATTTGCAGTGCTGGGCATTAATATGAATCTATTTTCGGGGTATACGATGAAATTTGTTTGACCATGAAAAATATTGTGTCATCCGTGCACCAGATTTTCATCACGCCCAGACACTGTTGTCTCGACTGTCGATTAGTTGTCCTACAGCTATTGTCTGCGATAGAAGTTCCTCCAAGGAAGCTTACGAAATTTGTAATGCTGTACGAACACACTGGCAAACCTTACCAGTGAGCAAATCAAAGTATTATAGACTGGCTTGGAAAACTGGCATGCGTAGTACTAACATGTGCAATAGGTCATATTTTATTGGTAAAATATGAAAAAATATATGATTACGGAATTTCTAGCATTGAAAGATTTAATCTCAGCGAAGAATGAAATATAATCCGATATCTTCGAAAGAAACAAGTCATTTCAACATATTCAGCGTATATATTTTGGATACCTAGAATATTATTATCGTATATAATAACGAAAAGATGATACTAAATATCTCATACATCACATCATTGCTTATTCACCTACGAACTTCGTCAATTATTGTCCTCACGTGGGTATGTGGCGTTGGAGGTTTCTCCAAACGTGGATTTTACATTCTCAGGAGGATTCGAAGAGTTCACTTCTTTCGCAGTCCTAGGTGTGTGCTTATATATTTACCTTTTATTTATATATTTATATGTATTTATTTTATATATCTACCTTTCGACCATTTGTTTACATGATGAGGGCAGCCGCTGACATCTAGTGAGGGCGCAGTTCTTCCTCTGGCCATTAGGAGGTTATCCCCCAGGTCAACTCGATTCAAATTTAAAGAATGTTTCATTGTCTATAATCAGTAATGACACAGATCGGGACAGTGTCAGAAAAAAGAAAAGAAAACACACACACACACACACAAATAGATATACTCCTGTTGCCAAATTTGCCAGGATAACGTTTTCGTGATTTTGTCATCTAAGAGTACAGTTTAAATTTTTTTCCATAATTGTTGATTAATTAAATATATTTCATCAGTACTTTTATGCTGACAAACACATACACATACACTGTGTTTTGGGCCTGCATATTTCGTTTAATGTAACTGTTAGGGGAAATATTGCTCCACATCTTAGTACTTAGAAAGGGGAAACTATAAGGACACTAGAAAACTTTTCCTTGTTGGTTGCATTAAACGAAGCGAATATATATATATATATATATATATATATATATATATATATATATAACTGTGTGTGTGTGCGTGTATAAATTCTAAGCTTTTTATTATATATACGTAAGCATGTTTTTATGATAAATATATATATATATATATATATATAATTGTTTATTTAGAAAATTTATAACATAAACATGTTATAAAATCACTACAAAAATAGCCATTTTGTTTCAACACTCCCGGTGTCTTATCAAGTGATGTTGTTGAATATATATATATATATATATATATATATATATATATATATATATATATATAAATGAAATCGATATATCGATAATATAAAGAGACTGATATGGCCAGACAAAGTTATATAAGAAAAAAAAACTCTGGTAGATAGGTGGATAGATAATGAACAGACTGAACTAGATGGAAAATGAACAGAATAAAACACACACACACACACACACACACACACACACACACACACACACACACATATATATATATATATATATATATATATATATATATATATATATATATAGAGAGAGAGAGAGAGAGAGAGAGAGAATAAAAAAAAGAAATTGATAGTGACAAACTAAGATAGATGGATATGGGCAGAATAAAGTAGATGGAAATTGAGAGAAATAATCAATCATGAGCACAGCAATGCAATAATAATAGTAGTAGTAGTAGTAGTAGTAGTAATTGTAGTAGTGGCTAGAAAGTACGTATTAAATATGTGTATATTAAATAAAGATAATAAAACTTCCTATATTCGGCTTTGTTACTGGAAGAACATTTAAAAACCTGTCGAAATCCTGTTTTCATTTCATATTGTGAAAGAAATAAGCGGATGATCTAAAAAGGAGACAGTTCGAGTTTGGCAGTGGTTCAGTGAATATTTATTTCAGGGAACTGTTCCAGGAAGAATTCCAACGAATGAAATGAAAATGGAAAAACAAAAAATACCCCGAGAAGGAGAACATAGGACAGAAATAAATAAATGTAATCAACCTTAAAAGGGAAAATATTTATCTTTAAACATATGAACAGAGAGGAAAAAAGATGCTTCTCTAAAGCGATGTTTTTGCACAACGTTGTTAAGGGATTGAGTTGGCACCTTAAGACATGCACTACGGTAAGGAATAATTTTTAGAATAATCAAAGAAAATATCTATAGATTTAAAGAAAAAAACACACCACAAAAGTATTTTAAAGGAAGAAAAGGAAAAAAAAAGGATAAATAATTACAAAAATTATCTTCAAAAATAAAAAAAAGTAATTAGTAACACACAAGCATCTACGCGTTCAAGTATGAAACGGACTGTCGGCATTCAGTGTTGATATCCGTGTCTACACTTCTTATATTTGCACACGACCTGCACTGGATTTTGAGCAATTTTATCCTATTAATATAGCATGCTTTAAAGTTATATTTTTTCACCCGAACACGTACACACACGCACATACACACAGGCATATATATATATATATATATATATATATATATATATATATATATAAATGAGAGAAAGAACAGATGAAGTAAAAATCCACTGTTTGTAGCATTTACTTTTAAAAAAGCGCTCAATACAAAGTAGAGCAATATATTATTATCATTTTTATTATAAGAGATTATCATAAAAACATTTTGAAATCGCTACATAAAAGCTTTCATGTTTCAATACTATCATAGTATTTCTTCAGGTGATGGTAAGTAACTAGTAATTAAATGATTTTTAAGGAAATTTACTTAAAAATTATTTAATCACCAGTTACTTATCGCTTAAATAAATAAAATCATAGTATTGAAACATGAAAGCTTTTGTGTAGCAATTTCAAAATGTTTGCGGTGGTTCTGACAGCGCCAAAAATTGGAAAAAAACACAACTGTTTTTGCACGAAATCAATTTTAAAACACGATTCTGTCGTCAGAATGAAAGGGGGACAACTCATACCGAGTTATACTTATCATAAAACCCAGGTTGTTTGTGCGTAAGTGTGTGTTTGTTTATATACGGGATCGGATTTCCTACATTTTTCAACCGATTTCAACAAAACTTCACTTTTTTTTTGGCAGGTAGTGTTTCTTATTGTCTTGCACACTTTTTTTCTTTATTTTATATTCAGAATGCTTTAAAAATTCCATTTACAAGACAATTGTTTATAATAAAATTCTATTCAATCGATAGACTCTTAACGATTGAAAACAATGTTTTTGTTTGAGTTTGGGTTTGACCAATTCGTAAAATAAAACAAAAAAAAAAACTAATTAAGACATGCGTGTCCATCAACCTTAAACAATAATCTTTGTCAATTTTATTTTTCAGTCTTTATGATGGCCGATACTTGATCTATCTCTTACTGTTACGTCCCCGGGCAATGCC